AGGACTCCCAGGCTGGCCCTCCACCACGGGCCACCGTCAGAAGGCGGCTCCGGGAGGAGGACCGGGCGAAGGCCCGGAGGCCCGAGGCCCCTTGCAAGGAATCGGAGCGGGCGGTGTTGGGCCCTGCTCGGGCTCATGGGGGCCCTCGCCGGGCCTCGGGCGCGCCAGAGAGCGGCTCGGGAGACGAGGCACCATCCCCGGGGGAGGGGTCCGGACCTCGGGGGCCCGCGCACCGAAAGAACTGGAGCAGCCCGATGCCAGGGATTCAGCAGGGACCGACCGTCCCGGCACTCCTATAGTCATACCACGAAATGTTCTTCGAACCCAAACATGTTCTAAGAACACGAACCATGTTCTTAGAACCTAGACCCGATGTTTTACAAGACAGCCCCACCCCGAAATGCTCTAAGAGCATCGCGTGGGAACCACAAAAAGGTTCTTAGAACATTGCTTAAGGGGCTATTAGGCGAGCCGGGACGCTTCGCCACTGCCTGATGGGAACGGACCAGAAAACTGGGGCCCCAACCCGGGGACATCCGATGGGTGGTCGCCCATGCTCGACAGGGGTGCGTGCGCCTGGCCCCCGTGGGGGCGCATCGCCTTCTCTCTGGGCGGTCTCACTGTTCGTTGAGAAAGGTCGGGGGGGCCCGAAGATCCGACCGTGCGGACAAAATGCAACACTGCGACAGAATCACGACTCGGCGAACAAAAATCTCAATCGGCGGTGGACAAACCTCCCTTTCGGAAACTTCCCCTCAATGAAAACGGCCTGGGACCAAAACCGACTGACCTGGACCCGCAAAAATGACGACCGCGACGCCCTCTCGCGAACCGAAAACGGCCAACTCCTCAATCGACGTGTCAGGGTAGGAGGTCCATCCACCCCCGACTCAATATGGAAACATTTGCGAACAACCGCATTCTGTCGGGCGGAACTCGGAGATGGGGGGAGAAAAAGCGCATGCGGCCCTCCTCCGCTCCCCAGAGACGTCTCGCCCTGGGCCTCTCCAGGGGCGAGCGCGCTGGCGGCGGCGTCGCGGGGAATCCGGCCGTGGCCACCAGAATTTTGACAGCCGAAGTGGGTACGAACAAATGGGTACACTGCCCAACAACAAATGTTGATGGGCCTGTTTTCAGCCACCACCACCATAAGTTGGAGGGGGAGGGGGTCCTCCTCCTCCTCCTCCTCCACCTCCTCCTTCTCCTCCTTGTCCTCCTCCTCCTCGTCATCCACCTCCGTCCCCCTCCAACTTCTGGTGGTGGTGGTAGAAAACAGGCTCATCAAATGTTGTCCCAAACCAACAGTGGCCGCTGTTGGGCAGGCGGCCTTCTGTCTCGAATGGACATCGGCCGCGGCGGCGCGGACAGCGAGCCCTGTTCAAAATGAGCAGGAGCTGCTGTTGGGCATTGGACCCAGTCTTTCCGTACCCATTTCGGGCGTCCAGACAGAAGCCCCATGGCGGCCCAGCACAGAACGCAAGACCGGGCAAGACCCAGAACCTCGGTCCTTGGGCAGGGACCAGCCGTCCAGGCATTCCTCGTACCACGACATGTTCTCAGAACCCAAGCATGTTCTGAGGACCAAAAGAACGAATGCTCCTATAGAGCATGAACACGGCGAGTTAAGACACGACGGTCTCAGTCAGAAATGCTCTAAGAGCGTTCCGTGCAGACCACAGAAGGGCTTTCAGCACATTCGTTGGTTCGTTGGTGAGCCTGTAGGCGAGCCAGGACGCTTCGCCACTGCTTGAGATCCTGCAGTCTCGACGTCCACACAAACAGCCTTTCGCCCCGCAAGCACACGGCTGACGGCCCCGGGCCCCGGGCCCCGGAAACCGCTGGCCGCGAACTATGCCCGACCCCCAAGCAAACCGTCACCCTCCGTGGCATCACCCTGGCCTCTCGAGCTTCCCTCCAGTCGCACACGTACGTCTTGGGGCGAGGCGAGGGGTACGGTTTGCTATAGGGGTCGGTTGGGCCGCTCCCAGAACTGCCCCCCCGGGGGGGCCGGCACGTGAGAGAAGACCGGAGAGCAGACAGACAACAGATGCGCCCGAAGTCCAGCTCGATTCTCCTCCTCCTCCTCCACCTCCTCTTCCTCCTCCTCGTCCTCCTCCTCCTCCTCCTCCTCCTCCTCCTCCTCTTCCTCCTCCTCCTCCTCCTCCTCCTCCTCCTCCTCCTCCTCCTCCTGCTCCTCCTCCATGGTGGCGACCGCGGCAAGCGGTACTCCGCGACCGGTGGCGAGGGCGGCCGCGCAGCGCCCAGCAGCCCTGCCGCCGCGGCCAGCCCGCCGTGGCCGGGGCGGGGCGCCGAGAACCGGTCGCGGTAGCCGGGGGAGCAGAGCGGCAGGACGTAGTGCTCGAACCACAGGTTGGAGAACACCCCCGCGGGGTCGTGCTTCTCCTGCGATGTTATGTTTCTGTTGTTTGGGGGGGGGGAGGAGCAGGAGAGATGGGAGCGCGGGCAGCGGGGCTATATACACAGAGCGCCTCGCCAGGCGCGCCTAGACCAGCCAGCGCTTCGCAAAAAACTCACCTGCTTCTCCCTCGATGTCGCTCCTGGTTCTTGCCGTCTCTGGCAATGGCCGTTACCAAGGGAAGTGGGGGACGGGCACCGGGTGACGGTAGTACTCGGGCGGGGGGTGGAGCACGTCGGGGGCGGGGGGTGCGCTGCGATCGCAGTCGTCGCGTGCGCGCGAGGACCAGAGTGCGGCAAGGGAGCCCCCCCCCCCCAACGCACGATCGTTGCCCTGGTCGGGGACGGGGGGGGGGACGGGTAACGACTGTTTAAAGGGGCCATAGGACACACAAATAAATACACACAAATAAAATGATTCCCCATATTTTCCCATATTTTCGGGTTTTTTGTCGTCCCGCCCAATTCCCATATTTTCCCATATTTTCCTGGGAGTGGACGATTAATTGTGTCTGTGTGTTTCTTCTCCTCCTGACTGTTACGCGGCAGAGGATGCAGAACATTACCCTGACGAAGGACACAAGCATATGCAGTTGTGAGTACCGTCGTTGGGGGCATCGCGGCATCGCCTGAGGTGGATCTCCTTATAGGGCGAAGGGTTACTGAAATGGGAGAGGGCGCCACGCGGGCGCTGCCACTGGGACCTTCGGTGGAACTCTCTGCGGGGTCGCGGCACGTGTGAGGGGTGTGCCGAAACGGGCTTGACGCCCAAATACGAACGTCGCCACTGGGGCCTGAGGTGGAGCCCCCCATGGGGACACGAAACGCGCGAGGGGTGTGCCGAAACGGGCTTCGAACGCTCCATCTGGGGCCTTCGGTGGAGCTCCATGCGGGGCCACGAAAAGTGTGAGGGGTGTGCCGAAACGGGCATGACGCTCACATGCGAACGTCACCACTGGGGCCTTAGGTTGAGCTTCCAATGCGGCCACGAAACATGCGAGGAGTATGCCGAAACGGGCGTGGCCCCCACATGCGAACGTCACCACTGCGTCCTTAATTGGAGCTCTCCATGCAGCCACGAAAGGTCACGAAGCGTGTGAGGGATGTGCCGAAACGGGCTTGACGCCCAAATGCGAACGCTACATCTGGGGCCTTCGGTGGAGCTCCTTGTGGGGCCACGAAGTGTGAGGGGTGTGCCGAAACGGGCATGACGCTCACATGCGAACGTCACCACTGGGGCCTTAGGTTGAGCTCCCAGTGGGGCCACTAAACGCGTGAGCGGTGTGCCGAAACGGGCGTGACGCCCAGGGTCACGAAAGGCGTGAGGGCTATTCCGAATGTTTTGTCATGCGGAGGGGAGGGGCAGGGATGGGAGGAGGGAGGAGGGGAATGACAGGAGAGGAGAGAGCGCAGGGCACTGTTCCATCAACAAAACGAGGACCCAGGACATCATGACAGTTGGGAACAATCCCTCCATGAAAGAACAAGGACCAACTGCTCTCGGGCCAACACAAAGAGGACAAACAAAAACCTGGGGGCGGTCGAATACCTGCTCGGAATGAAAGCATGGTCCCGGGAAACGGATTCAGGCCGCTGGGGGGGGGCCCACGTCATAAAACAATAACAAAAACATATGAAAACAACCACACACGATGTCAGGGGGGTGGCTGGGGAAGAGGCGCATGCACAGGCTTCTGGAGGCCCTCGAGGAGTTACAGGGTCGACGCTGACCCTACACACACAGGCACACACACAGGCACACACACACAAACACACACACACACACAAATAAACACACACACACACGCACACACACACAAACACACACACACACACACACACGCACGCACACGCACACGCACACGACAACACACGCATACAACCTGGGCGGCGGCTCTGCGTGTGTCCAACACCGGCCCAAAGAAATCCGCGCGGATCTCCGAAAGTGTGTACTTGCGCCGTTGTCTGTCCCTCGGCCTTCAGCGCAGCGAATCCCTCTGCCATCGGATACGCCTGCTGGAACAGCTGGTGCGAGTAGCACTTTCGGTAGGGCAGGTAGAACGTGCCCCCGCACTGCACCGTGACCTCGGCGAAGCGATTGTGGTACGTCCCCAAAAGCTCGTCGTACTTAGGGCCGCGGGGAAGGCGGTCCGCCACAGTGCCTGCTGTAACGCTGAGGCGTGGTAGAATACCCCGTGCCGCCTGGTAGGGTTCCTGTATTCTGGTAGAGGGTCCCCCCCCCTCCAGTCGCATCCTCCCCGTGTACATCGGCCCTCTCTCTATCGAGGCCACTGTTCCCTATGGACAAGCGAGAAAGCTGCGCCCCCGAGGCCGCGATGCCCCCCGCGCAGAATGACGCGTCCGCGCCCCGAGTCGCGAAGGCGGCGCCTGCCGGTAACCGGGCACATTAAAGGGGCCCTGGGACACACAAATACATACACAAAAATAATAAGATTCCCCATCTTTTCCCATATTTTCTGGGTTCTTGTCTTCCCCCCCAATTCCCATATTTTCCTATATTTTCGGGGAAATCGACGATTATTTGTGTCTGTGTGTTTTTTCCCCTCCTGACACATCATGATGGCCCATGCTTGTCGCACTCTCGCGAGAAGCCTCCACCCTGGCACGTCGACGGCCACAGAGGCCCCCAAGAGGGCCCCGAGAGGGCCCCAAGAGGGCCCCAAGAGGACCCCACGATGGCTCGAGAGCCATCCGAGACGGCCCGGGAGGGCCTCCCGAGCTAAGACTGCCTTAGAAGGCCTTTTGACGGCCCAAGACGGCGCCAAAACTGTCCCACGACGGCCACCAGACACCCCCCCCCTACGGCCAGGAGGGCCCCGACGGCGCAAAGGAGCCACAAGACGTCCCAAGAGGGCCCCAAGAAGGCCCAAGAGGGCCCGAAGACGGCCACAAGGGACCCCAAGACTGCCCCACTGGAGACCTAGCTGGCCCCGACACGGCCCGAATGAGTCCCATGAGAGCTCTTCGAGAAGCGAAGACGAAACATTTCAAAGTGTGACGGCCTTCTCTTCCTCCTGCCCCTCCTCCTCCTCCTCCTCCTCCGCCTCCTCATCCTGCTCCGCCTCCTCCTGTTCCTCCTCCTGCTCCTCCTCCTCCTCCTGCTCCCCCGCCGCCTCTCTCTCTCAATCTCCCAATCCTTCTGATCCCCATCATCACGGCTCGCCCGAGCCTGGGGACACGAGGTGTCACACGTGACCGCCGCCCGTCCCCCCCAGAACAGGCGCCCCCCAGGCTGCTCGGCCGGCGCGGTGGCGGGACGCTCCACAGGCGGCCAGATAATACAGGACGAAAGCGTAGACTCCGTCCAGACTGCGGCTGTACCTGAGGTATGTGTCGGTGTCCTGCTGGACAAAGCGGATTGTCGTGTTCAGCAAGATCAGTCCGCCACTGTCCTCTTTGTTCAGGTCGCCGTAGATAGGGCGGGAGAGGTTGAGCCAAGCGTTGAACTGCGGGTGCGGAACGAAAAACTCCTGGAGGATGAACGTGTCGTCGCGGTGGAAGAGGGGCTCGTACAGCTGCGCCAGCGGAACAGCGCTCTCGTACAGCAGCTGGTTCCGCGTCAACCCATCGTCCGACGACCAGTCCAGCGCCACCCCGCTTGCTTCCTCCATGGCGTACCTCGCCTCCTTCATCGCGGGCATGGCCCACTTGTACAGCACGCGCGACTTCGTGCTGAGTTGCCGGGGTTGGAGCCCGAGCCCAGGGCTGGCGATGGGCACGCTCGACGGCCTGAACACGTACACCGAGATGCTCGACAGGGTGATGATGTTCAGCCGAGCCAGCTTGATCTCCACGCGGTCCACGGCGTTGTCTGGCGGGAGACTGTAAGGAGCGAAACGAGCACGCCGACTCCACCCACCCCTCCCCCAGCCAGCCCCCCTCAGCCTGCCCCCCACCTCACTGCGGAGACAGTATCCTGGCGAAGCAATCCTTTCTGGACCCTTTTCGAGCAGGACCGCTCAATACATGAGAATTCGTTGGGGAGATCCGCAGTGAGCCTGACAGCTTCGCCACAGGACGAGTGCGCCGAAATGCACCCGAGGCGCCATGCAAACCCTGCCACTCGAGCCATCGGTAGATCTCCGCATGGGGCAACGAAGCGCTGTGACGGATGTGCCAAAATGGACCCGAGGGGCCGAGGCGCCATGCGAACCCTGACACTGAGGCCCTCGGTGGAGCTCACTCTTGAGCCACGAGGCGTGTCAGACGTGTGCTGAGATGTACCCGAGGCGCCATGCGAACCCTGCCACTTGAACCATCGGTGGCGCTCGAGCTCCCTGTTGTGCCACGAAGCGTGAAATGGACCCAAGGCGCGCCATGCGACCCCTGCCACTTGAGCCCTCGGTGGGCCCCCCTGTGGGGCATCGAAACGTGTGAGGGGTGGTCCGGAATCGACCAGGGGCGCTTTGCGAACCTTGCCTTTGAAGCATTCGGTGATGCTTCCTATGGGGCTACGAAACGAATGAGGGGTGTGCCGACATAGACCCGAAGCGCTATGCGAAACCTGTCACTGAGAGCCTTCGGTGGAGCTCCCCGTAGGGCCAAGGAAACGTGTGACGTGTAAGCTGGCATGAGGATGCTAATGTTGATGACGATGGTGGTCATGATGATGTGTAAGAGGAATGGAGGGGGAGACGGGACGGAGGATGAGGTGGGACGCCGCGCTGCGACTTCAAACCCATTGGTGGGAAACAACACCGCTACGGCTACACCCCAAATCTCTCACGGTGTGCCCTCTGACAAGGGCTCCCAAGCGAATCCAGCGGTGACGACGAGGCCCCTACCAAAAGGAGACATCAACAATATCCGTGCACGGACCCAACCATGTGCAATGTGGACTATCGTCGTTGTGATCATCGCCTTCAAAACCATGCGAACCCTGGAATTTGGGCCTAAGCTGGAGCTCCCTGTGGGGCAACGAGGCACGTGAGGGGTGTGCCGAACTGAATCACCGACGCCATGCAAACCCTGGCTTTTGGGCCTTAGCTGGGACCCCCCATATTGGGTCACGAAGTATGTGAGGGTGTGCCGAACTAGGCCACTGACGCTATGCGAACTCTGGCCTTTGGGCCTTAGCTTGGGCTCCCAGTGGCCGAAATGGCATACCGACGCCATGCGAACCCCTGCATTTGGGCCTTAGCTGGGGCTCCCTCTGGGGCCACGAAGCGCGTGAGCGGTGTGCCGAAATGAGTTGCCGACGCCATGCGAACTCTGGCAGTTGGACCCCAGCTGGAGGTCCTCGTGGGTTCACGAAACGTGTGAGAGCTGCGCCGAGGTGTACATGCGAAGGCAAGATTGGTTGCCCGTTTTGGGATTCTCGGCTGCACCGTGTTCGGTCTGGTTCCGTTTCGTACCGCCGACTGTTGCTCTGGTTTGGGCTGCCTTTTTATGTGTTTTCGTCGGTCTGAAAGCAATCCTTTGCAAGCGGCAAACAACACATCGCCCCCGTGCGTTTTAAACATGAACTACAGGCGGGGCTCGAAGATGGATCTTCATAAATTGTCGAGGGTCCGCACGGCTTTCCTGGATCGGCACTGGACCCCCGCCCTGGCGTGCGGAGCGCGCCGGGGCCGGCGCCGAAGCGCCGCCAAGGGGCTCCATCGCCAATCCAGGACATCCGCGCGGAGCGTCGACAAAATATGCTTATGGAATGTCGTCTCCGTCGAGGGGGGAGGGTAGGCGTACCGCTTTGGCTCCCCTAATGGCTTCCGACATCACCCGCTGCCTCCTCGCGCTGCCCTCCGTTCAGTGCCGGTGCGCTCGCGGCCACCACGCTGCCATAGATCTGCTCGAAGTCCTCCGACCGGATCACGCCGCCGGAGGCTCTTTCCTCGCCGCCCGGGAGCGCCACGCTGAAAGAGTCCATCTGCAAGGCGACGTTGTCGCGCACCCGCATCGTCACCTATGGAAGAGGAAGAAGAAGAAGAGCAATACAACACGGCATACAGTCACTATGATAGTAAGGAGGCGCGATAAGGGTGCAAGCCCCTTGGACGCTCATGACCAAGCTTTTCGAACGGGGCTGGCCATCGGAAGTGGTGGACCGAGGAGGCAAGGACGCAAAGGTACCCTTGGGAAATTTACCCATCCTTACTGTCGGTTTCGACTGTAATCACAAACCTTCGGAGATCCGCGGGGATTTCTTGGGGACCAGATCTAGATGAAGGGGCCCTGGGACACACAGATAAATATACACAATTCAAAGGATTCCCCCTATTTTCCCATATTTTCGGGGTTTCTGTCTTCCCCCCCACTTCCCATAGTTTCCCATATTTTCCTGGGAGTGGACGATTAATTGTGTCTGTGTGTGTGTTTTTCCCTCCTGACTAGACTCCCACCCCCTGGCGGCGGCGGTCCAGTGCCCCTCAGGAGGTGCACGCGGACTCCCAGAGAGCTTACGTGGCACGCGCTTGCGGATAACGGTGAAGGTGCTGCAGCCTTCTCGCCGGAAGCCTTCGCGCAGGAAGACCCTCGCCCAGGACACCCCGCTCGTGCCCACGCGCCCAGCAGGACCCCCGCGCCAAGGATCCCGCCCCCCCGCCGGGACCCCCCCACCGAGCAGAGACGGGCCCACGGCGGCCACGCACGCCCAGGGATGAGGCACAGTCGCGCCTGAGCCAGAAGACTGTCCCTCAAGAACATGAGACCCTGCGCCGTCCAAAGCTAACAGACATTCCAAGGATACCCTCCCCAGGATGCGCAAGAACATCCAACAAACACGAAGAACTCTTAGGGTACCCTCGCCAAACCGACCTTTCGGGCACCCTCACTGTGACGTTCGGGCACCCTCACTCTGACGTTCGTGCCACGACTTTGCTCCTCGAGCCTCAGTGATCACGCCGAAGCAGCCGTAGCCGCCCAGGGCAAGCTGGAAGAGCTCCTCGGAGTCGCCCCGAGCGCCGCTGCCCCGAGGCCTGGTGCACGCGACGACCTCTGGCCGCACGGCAGAGGGCCACCTGAGCGAAGAGAAGAGACGGGTCTTACGAACGATGGCACAGCGACGTTACGCGGTGGACTACGCGGGCCACCAGCGCCGCAGGCTGGAGATAGGTATCAGCTGTTCGGCCAGAACCTGGGTGAATGATCCAGGGGGGAGGGGGGCGGAAGTGCCAGCCGATAACCCAGCCTTGCGCCTTGGGCACCCCCCCCGCGTGCCCGCGCCAGAACAGCACTGCCCCCTCCGTCGGACCTGTGCCACTGACAAATTCCGGTTATCCAGGGAGGGCGGGGGCGGGCCCGATGACCCTGGTCATCGCCGGACCCTGAAAGAGCACTCTCCTGCATGGGAAACGAGGGCGCTCACGCGCGACCTTGCGCGGGCAGCTTACGAGCAAAGGTCGGCGCGCAATCGGCTCCGCTTCCCTCCGCCGCTCACCCGCCGCTGCCGCCGGCGTCGGCGCCAGCGCGGGCGAGCCTGGCCAGGCGAAAGCTGGTGACGCACTCCTAGGAGGAAGAAACTCGGCGGTGGACAAACCTCCCTTTAGTGAACCTCCCCTTAGTGAAAACGGCCTGGGACCGAAACCGACGGACCTGGACCCGCAAGAATGGCAGCCGAGACGCCCTCTCGCGAACCGAAAACGGCCAATTTCCTAAATCGACGTGTCAGGGTAGGAGGTATATCCATCTCCGAGAAACAGCGGCACCGAGATGAACTCTCGAGGGTCCGCGCGGACTTGCTGGATCTGCGCGAGGCCGCCCGCCCCATGCGCCGCTCCGCTCGCCAGGTGCGGCGCCGGAGGCGCCGCCACGGGGAGGTTGCGGGCAATGCCTTTATCCACATCCAGTGCGTCTTGGAGCTTCGGACTCTCTTCCCAAGAAACATGAGGCGCACTGGATATGGATTATAATCTGCCCCCTAAAAGCTTCAATTGTTATCCATACCCAGTGCTCCTCGGCCATGCGGCGCCCCTTCCAAAAGACGCACTGGATATGGATATAAATATTGCCCGCAGAGGTGCCCGGCGCCGACTCCCAGAGATCTGCGCGGAGCTCCGAAAACTCATGTGTGTGCCAGTGGAGCGACGATCGAAACGGGTCTCGCGCGAGAGATGGCATGGCGACCTGAAGCAAGCGGCTTCCGCGGGCCCCGGCGGCGCGGCACGCCCCGGTGCAGGCGAGGGCGCCCTCGCGCGAGCTCGCGCGGGCAGCCTGCGCGCCAGAGTCGGCGTCGACGGCCCCGTTTTCGTGGCGTCGCCCATCGGTTCTTCTCCGAGCTCCGCGAAGCAGTGGTCCGTGGTGATGCCGTGGGCGTTCACGGCGAGGGTGCCCCCGACGCTGAATGTGCAGTAGCTCTGCATCGACCTCGGCGACTTCCCGAAGCGGTTCAGGTCCGCCGCCCGTGCCCGCGGCGCACCGTGGGGTGCCCTGTTTGGGCCCTCGGCTGGCACTCGGGGGCGGGGCGCTCTCCCCAGAACGAGTTCCCACGTCGAATCTGCAGGGAATGAACCGACCGCGTGTAGATCTGTGAAGATTTGGCGCATTTCCATGGGACGGACGAGAAAAATCCAT